TTCTGGCAGCAGCCCCCGGCCCAGACTTGTTCCTACATAATTGAAGTCGAATGTGCAGGGGGGAGGGTAGACCTAGGAAGCCTTTCTGCTCTTCCAGACTGCAGAATCTTCAGCATTCTGCAGTTGGCCCTGTTTGGGATCAAAGCCAGTTAGTGTTGATTTTTTGCAGCAAGAAACAAATGCAAGGAAGCTGTTTTCCTGAGGCCTGCATTTTGCAAGGAGGAGTTTAATTTTTTTCCCTCCCAAGGACAGGTGGAGGGGGGGAAGAGTGGGGGAACATGATGTGGCTCTTGTATTGCTGGCATTTTTGCAAACCATTTTGGGATTGTAGCTTCCACATGAGCGTAAAGGAATCAGATGTGTGGGTACAGCTTCAGCTAAGCAGTGTCTGTCACCAAAGAAAAATTCTTAAAAAAATGCTGCTGGAAGAGGCCGTGCATGATACGTTACAATTTGGTTGCACTCTGTTGGAGTGCTTCCAAGAGAAAACTCTCCATATTCCTCCTAAAATTTTCCGCTGACTCTTCTCCACTTCCAGGCCTTTCTCTGTGATCTGTTCTCCTGCCCCAGAAATTAGTTGGTGCTCCTTCTTTTCAGTCGCACTCAAGTCCTTTGGTGTTAAGCTTTATGTTAATGGTGTAAAGTGACACCCAGTAAATTTCTCAAGTTGAGGGAACACCTAATTCTTTTACAGGGAACTTGACTAATCCAGTGCTCAGGGGAAAGTCTGAACCTTGCCTCTTGGGCCATCACCAAAGCCTTGAGAATTTAGAATTGAGAATCCATGCAATTGGGAGGGTGGTGGTGGTGTGTGTGTACATGCGTGCGTGTGTCAGGGGGTGTCTCTGGGCTTTATTATTTTGTGGGTTGTTTTGTTTTGTTTTGTTGATGCTAGGAATCACCACACTCTACTACTAAGTTACATCCTCAGGCCCAGGGTGTTTTTTTTTTTTTCCTGGTGGTACTGGGTATTGAACCCAGGAGCGCTTTACCACTGAACTACATCCTCACTCTATTTTTTTTTTTTTTAATTTAACCTTTAGAGCCAGGCCCAATGGCACAGGCTGTAATCCCAGTATTGGGAGGCTGAGGCAGTAGGATCACAAGTTCAAAGACAGCCTCAACAATAGCAAGGCGCTAGGGGCTGGGGATGTGGCTCAAGTGGTAGCGTGCTCGCCTGGCATGTGCGAGGCACTGGGTTCGATCCTCAGCACCACATAAAAATAAATAAATAAAGATATTGTACCCACCTTAAAAAAAAATAGCAAGGCGCTAAACAACGCAGTGAGACCCTGTCTCTAAATACAATATAGGGGGCTGGGGATGTGGCTCAAGCAGTAGCGCACTCGCCTGGCATGCGTGCGGCCCAGGTTCAATCCTCAGCACCACATACCAACAAAGATGTTGTGTCCGCCGAAAACTGAAAAATAAATATTAAAATTCTTTCTCTCTCTCTCTCTTAATAAATAAATAAATACATAAATATAGGGCTGGGGATATGGCTCAGTGGTCAAATACCCCTGAGTTCAATCCCCAATACCTGCCCTCCTCACCAAAGAAAAAGACTTTAACCTTTATTTTTAAATTTTTTTTAACTTTTACTTTTTCGTTTTTGGCAGACACAACATCTTTGTTTGTATGTGGTGCTGAGGATCGAACCCGGGCCACACGCATGCCAGGCGAGCGCGCTACCGCTTGAGCCACATCCCCAGCCCCTATTTTTTTATTTTTATGTGGTGCTGAGGACTGAACCCAAGACCCACCTGTACTAGGCAAGTGCTTTATCACTGAGCTACAACCCCAGCCCTCCTCAGCTCTATTTTGAGACAGGGACTCACTAAGTTGCTGAGGCTTGCATTGAACTTGCAATCCTCCTTCTTCAGCTTCCCAAGTAGCTGGGATGACAGGTATGGACCATTGGACCCAGCAGGGCTCTTAATTTTTACATGAGGAAATAAAGGTACCAAGGATATTTGGTTTGGAAACTGTTGCTTCTGAGCAAGATGTCTCCATGAAGTCAGGTCAAAACTGGTTCTCCTATTCCACATTTATGCTCAATGCTACATGTTTATTTTTATCAATTGGAAAAAAAGTGCACCCAGCTGGGGCTGTGGCTGTGGTTCAGCGGTAGCCTACTTGCCTGGCATGTATGAGGCACTGAATTGAATTCTCAGCACCACATATAAGTAAATAAAGGTTTATCAACAACTTTAAAAAAAAAAAAGTGCACCATTGGCTGCATTATACTAGTGTAGATTTATCCTGGGTCTTGTAAGCCTTCATGCTGCAGATTTCACTCTGACTTCCCCACCTGGACTAACCTCCCTGCATTAATTTCCAAGCAATCTCAGGATGGATCTGAATGGAGTCTTGGGTCAGGGGATTTAGAACAAAGTCTGAAAAGAAACAAAGCAGCTTTAGTTCACTTAGTGAGCTTGGTAATTAGCCTTGGAGTAACAAATGTTATCTGTACCAGTGTAGTTCTGTGCCAAGTACCGAATCCCCATTTCCCAAAGACTCCAGTGAGAAGTTTTTGACCTAAAGCAATTCAACGTTAGGCCCCAAAGACTGTGATCATCTTGTGTGAAAAAGATTGTTCATCTCTTCCTTTCAGGCAGCAAGAGGGCAAAATCTAGATCAAGAACCTACTGCAGAACTGCTTTCATGTTCTCCTGAGCTTCCAGAATTAGAGAGACTACTCAGTGTTCACGAAAATAAACTGGCTACGATGATTCTGAAATAGCGTTGGCTATTGAAGGACTTTCAAAATTAATGCCTGACAGAACACATAGCCTAAGTATGAGCCTACTGGGCACAGCAATGAAGCTTCAGAGATGTCAGGTGAAGGAGGATTATCCTTGAAAAATGAAGAGGATGGGAAGGAGTTGGATATGATGTTAGTCAGGATAAACAGACCACAACCAGTCTCCCCCAGTGAAAAATAGAAGGTGGCTTATGTAACCTCCCCTAATACACAAGTGCAAATGTTTTTTGCTTGCTCCAGGAATACCCCATATGGAACAGCATTTCAGGAAACCAGGTTCACATTATAGATGGGGAGGAGTCACTTGGCCTTGGCACTACACTCCTAGTTCCTGAAGGGAAGGTCATTCTATCACTGCTTCCCTTTACTTCACATTTTTAACTTTAAAAAAGTAACATCTGGGGCTGGGGCTTGCCTAGCTTGTGTGAGGCACTGGGTTCAATCCTCAGCACCACATAAAAATAAATAAAGGCATTCTATCCATCTACAAATATAAATTTTTTTTTCTTTTAAAGTCTTCTCTGCTTGGTAGAGCCACTAGGCAGATATTCCCATCTTAAGAATTTTTATAGGCAAGATTGAAAGTGGAGCTGGGGTGTAGCTCAGTGGTAGAACATGTGTTTTAGCAATGCAGAAGGTCCCAGGTTCTATCTCCAGCAGTGCCACCAAAAAAAAAAAAAAAAAAAAAAAAGAGTGTGTGTGTGTGTGTGGGGTGTCTGGCCAGCAGCAGAAGCCTGCCACAGAATACTCAGTAGCATCCTAAGATTGATGAGAGTAATGGCTAGATATAAGTGACTTAGATGTCCCCCTCCACTATTTTTTATTTATTTTTGATACCGGGGATTGAACCCAGAAGCACTTAACCACTGAGCCATATCACCAGCCCTTTTTTATATTTTATTTTGCGACAGGGTCTTGAAGAGTTGCTTAGGGCCTTGCTAAGTAGTTGGGGCTGACTTTGAACTTGGGATTTTCCTGCCTCAGCCTCTTAAATCACTGGGATTATAGCCATGCACCACCACACCCAGCTCCCTTGCACTATTAAGAAGCAGAAATTGGCTAAGTTTGGTGGTGCATGCCTGTAATCCCAGCGACTCAGGAGGCTGAGGCACAAAGATTGTAAGTTCCAGGGAAGCTTACCAACACCCTGTCTCAAAAAGGGGGTGGGGGACTGTGGATATAGCTCAGTGGTGAAGCACTACTGGATTCAATCCCTGGTATCAAAAAATAAAAATATATGTATAAAGTAATAAGAAGCAGAAATTGATTCTCCAGAGTCTTAATTTCCCTTCTGCTGCCAAGAGAGCAGGAATGCAGAAGACCATTAGGCAATAGTGAATTCAGCTTTATCCCAGAGAAAATGGTTTTCTCCAAATGTGAAATGACTCTTTCCTTTTTAACATAAGCCTATAGACTTCATCACACTAGCAAAATACGCCACCAGTCTAAGCAACATGGCACGACGTACCATGGCCAAATCATATACAGTACTCGAGAGTGTGCCTACTAACTGCACCAGAAGAGGGTTCCAAACAATGATGGAAGGTTGCTCCTTCATGATTTTCCAGTTCTCACATTCCTGGCTGGCTGTCTACCTAAGTTTCTCAGCCCTTTGAATGACAGCAGCTTTGCTTGGCAGTTGTAGTTGCTTCAAGTGCTTTATATTACCCAGTGTCCTAAAGAGTCACATTTGTGAGTGTTTCAATAAAAAAAAAAAAAAAAAATCTCAGCTTTAAGGCCTGTAAAAGTCTCAGGTTAAAAAAATCAATTCCTTTTTGTTCACAAAAGAGTTATGTGTCTGAGTCTTTCCCTACTTCAAGCCTTCAAATTCAGATAATTTCCCCTAATCTATATTTGGTTTGCCTTTTTATTCTTTTCTTTTTTTCAGGTATTGGAGATTGAACACAGAGGTGCTTTACCACTGAGCTACAACTCAAGCCCTTATTAGAGTCTCATTAAATTGCCCAGGCTGGCTTCAAACTTGTGATCCTCCTGCTTTAGCATTCCGAGTAGCTGGGATGACAGGTGCATGCTACCATGCCAGCTTAGGTTCCTCCTACTTTTTGTTGGTTTGGGGAGCTGTAGGAAAGAGGCTGAAAAGATGGATAATCCAGCTGCTCACTATCCTGTCAAAGAGTTGATTTTTATGCTTATCTCTAAATTCAGGCCATTGACTTTCTTGATTAGATATGTGCTCCTAAGCAAATGTCAGAGACACAAACTTCACACAGCATAATAATTTCAAAGTTTGGTTATTTTAATGCAATTTCACTGTTCAAGGTAGTATTAAGGTAAATTAAGTGGTTCATTTCCACCCTGAAGAGAACACTAACAGCTCCTGTCTTATCTAATTGTCATTACTCTTCGACCTTCTTTTAAAATAACATTTTCTTTACATATCTTGATAAGATTCCCCCCTACCCTGGAACATTTCTTTTAAACCTTCAAGTAGTTTGGGGACCTTTGCCTGTTTGCTCATTCCTCTGGCACAGCCTTCCAGAGCATTTGTCCCACCTGTGCTGAAAACCGCAGCTCTCCCAGCTGGAGGCTGGGCCGCGTGATGGAGGCGATCATAATGAAATGAGGAGCAAGCTTTGTAAACTACTTCTTAATTAGTATGCTACAATCCACCCCAGCTTCTGCAAGGTCAGACATGCAAGACAAGTACTTGGCCAAAACAGCAGGATTCTAACTAGTGTAAAAATAGATTTTAAATAAAATAGAATCTCTATAGGAAAGACAATTCGGTTATGCTTTACATTCCCACTCTTGCTTTAAGATATTTGTATATTAATTAAAGTCCAAGAAGGACTTATAGCATTAGCATTGGTCTGCCCTAAGTAAAAATTAAGAATGTTTGACTAAGTACATTCATTTTGCAAAGTTACAGTTAAGGTTTTTTTTTTTTTTTTTTTTTTGGGGGAGGGGGGAAGAGGGAATGCTGCAGCATATCCCCCAAAATGGATGGTGATTAGCAACACAGCTGATGTATTAACAACACCTAGGACCATTTAAGTCAAAGGGGATGAAGCCCAATCACAGCCTAAAAAATAATTATGCAATGTGACAATTTAAAACCTTTGGCTAATTATAAAGCAGGAAACAAAACCCATCATTTAACAGTATGCCTTGTTAACATGTCCAGCTCCCTCTTCTAGAAGCTAAATTCCAACACGGGTCTCGCTTCAGTTTCACTCAATTATGGCATGTCACGAATTATCTTGTTTCTGGTTCTAGAGAAAGTACATAACCCCTCTTTAGTCCATAACAAGCATTACATGACTGTTTTAAAGGGGGCTCTGTTGAAATTCAAATTTTAGGATTTAGTAACAGCCTTTGGTTATATCTTGAAAGCATAATTGAAAATCTGCCCAAGCTCCCTCTAGCTGCAACCTGAACATGAATTCGGATCTTTTGTAAACTTTCAGAAAATACTGATCCCAGCAAAATACACAATTAGCTAGTCAGAGGCTTCATTCTATGTTTTCACATGGATGATAAATCTCCTCTCTTATTCTTGCTAGATACTAGGAAATCCACTCTGAGATTTAGATCTTGAATACTCATTAAGCCTCTTTCTTATTATTTCTTATAATGATGTGTGGAGTCACCAGAAATAAACTAAGTGGAACTGCCATCATTTTTCCTACACTATGTCTACTCAATCTGTCCTGGGTTGTTTTTCCTGGCTAGCTGTAGGGCAAGAAGAGATGGCTGCTGCTGACAAGCCACTACCTGGCTTACAACCCAGCCCATCTTCATATAACATTCAAACAATTCTTCAACTCCCCAGAGGAAGGGAGGGATGGCAATGATATGAGGCTGGAGCTAGGGATTTTTCCTAACCCCTCAGTAGCCAATGGGAGCCTGCCTTTAAAGCAACTGCTATCAGCTCTGGGAGGTTTAGCGCTAGGTAACATTACCTTTGAGGTTATGAAAAAATTTCACATCTTAAAACTACCCTACAGCTAAACATCAAATACTCCAACTCAATAAATACAACGGAAAAATGCACAGCAGAGTTGGGGCATCTACCAAGCAGGAAGGCAAAATGGTCATTAGAACTTCTGAGGTTAGTGAACTCTTACCCACCTTTGAAAACACTGTTCAGGTGCATCTGCTCTCTTAGCACCCTCTACATTCACTATGCCACACTAGCAAATGAAAGATCCAAACGACTGTGGCTTGATCCTTACTTGTACTTATTAGGGCCCACCCTCCCATTTAGCCAAAAGTCCCAGCACACCCTTCAGTGCCAGGGAGAACAGTCTCAGGGATGTTGTTTTTCTGAAGATCACTTGCCCCTCTTGCTTCGACCCTTCCTGGAGGGCAGCTTCCCACTGCCCCCTGAAGAGGAGGGGCTGGAGGTGGAGGCCATGGCAATGTTGATCTGTCCTTCCTGTATTTCCTGCCGGGTCTCAGCAGGTAGATGGCTGATCTGCTGCTGAGTCTCAAGGTAGAACATGACATCACGTAGCTGCTCCTGGATCTCGGTGATCTGAAGGTCTTTTTGGTCACAGGTCTCCTTCAACAACCTTTCCTCCTCCTTTAGCTTGTTCTGCAGGAGGACCTGGTTGGCCCGCAAACACTTATTCATTTCCTGCTCCTCCTGGAGCTCAGTTGTGAGTTTGGCCACTTTCGTGTTTAGCTGAGTGCACCTTTTGCAAAACAAAGACAAAAGCATATCTTTTCATTTGCTGACACAGTCGCCTTTCTACTCTGGGATTGAACAGCAGGCCACGACCTCAGAATCCATTTTAGAGCAGTCTCCCCCTCCCTCCTCTGCTGAGGGAGACTGGTTTGCTGCCACTGTAATCAGCTAGGCAAAGAAAGAATTTTGCTCTTGTTAACCCAGGTGTAGCTTCCAGCCAATTTTTAAGCATCTGAAAATTTTCAGTAGCAGAAACTTGTGTGACTCATGGTAAAAATGCTTCTGTCAGTCCATAGTTAAATGGATGCCTCAAAGAGAATAGCTATAATAAAAATTATGAGGAAAAGTGACATTCTTGGAGAGTCAATTGCTCTGACCTCACTGCATTTCTGGAGGAGGAAAAAAGATGCTTATTCTAACCAAAGGGTTTTCCAGAATTGGGAATTCCCTATTCTTAATGCCCAATCTTACTCATAAGTAAAGAATTACAAATGAAAACACCATTTCAGATACCACTTTTATGTTTCAGAGTGCTAAAGAGCTCACTGGAAAAGAGGCACACCTACCGATGAATGGATAAAGAAAATGTGGTGCACATATATAATGGACTATTACTCAGCCTTAAAGAACAATGAAATTATGACATTTGCAGGTAAATGGATGGAAATAGAGAATATCATGCCAAGTGAAATAAGGAATCCCAAAAAACCAAAGGCTGAATGTTTTCTCTGATAAGTGGATGCTGATTTGTAGTGGGGGGTGGGTGGTTACGGAAGAATGAAGGAACTTTGGATTGTGCAGAGGGGAGTGAGGGGAGTGCTGGGGTAGTGGGGATGGGAAGGAAGGTAGAATGAGAGACATTATTATCCTATATACATGTATGATTACACTACTGGTGTGACTCTGCACCACATACAGCCAGAGGAACAAGAAGTGCTACATTTGTGTATAGTATGTCAAAATGCATTCTACTGCCACGCATAGCTAATTAGAACAAATTTTAAAATTTACCAAAAAAAAGTACACTAACATGTTGACACTGGAGTGTAAATTGGTACAGACTTTTTGGAAGTTAATTCTCTTAAAAAAAAAAAAAAAAGCCCATGCCTGGAATGCCAGGGGCCCACAACAATAATCCCATGGCTCAGGAGGCTAAAACAGGAGGATCCAGAGTTCAAAGCCAGCATCAGCAAAAGGGAGGCACTAAGCAACTCAGTGAGACCCTGTCTCTAAATAAAATACAAATAGGGCTGGGGATGTGGCTCGGTGTTCGAGTGCCCCTGAGTTTAATCTCTGGTACCAAAAAACAACAACAGAAAGTTCACAGCCGAGCACAGTGGTGCATACCTCTAATCTCAGCAACCTGGGAGGCTGAGGCAGGAAGATCATTAAATTTGAGGCCAGCCTGGACTATATCTCAAAACTATATCTCCAAAAAAAGGGGGGAGGGGCGGGCTGGATATACAGTTTAGTGGTAGAACACCACTGGATTCAGTCCCCAGTTCTGCTTAAAAAAGAAAAGTGCACATGCCCCACCCGCCTTTTAGGGGATACCAGGGATTGAACTCAGGGGTACTCGACCACTGAGTCACATCCCCAGCTCTATTTTGTATTTTATTTAGAGATAGGGTCTCACTGTGTTGCTTATCACCTCCCTTTTGCTGAGGCTGGCTTTAAACGTGCAATCCTCCTGTCTCAGCCTCCTGAGCTGCTGGGATTATAGGCATGGGCCACAGCACCCAGCTGCACATGCCGTTTGTCATAGCTATTAGCTATTCTACTTTCTTATCCTATAAAAAGATGAATGGAGAAAGATGCTCATTAAAACACTGTTTATATCAGTGTAAGACAGGAGACAATTTAAATGTTAATCAATAAGGAACTGGTTAAAATTATTATAGTGTATCCATACAATGTAAATCATGCAACTGTTAACAAAGATCAGAATAGATCTAAATATGCTAGTATGAAATGTTTCCAAAAAAGAATATTTCACCAAAGAAAATATCCTCAGTACTATTTTTATAGAAAAAAGATCATGTGCCAGGCACAGTGGCACACCCCTATTATTCCAGTGGCTTGGGAGGCTGAGGCACAAGGATTGCAGGTTCAAAGCTGGCCTCAGCAATTTAGCAAGACTGTAAGCAATGTAGAGACCCTGTCTTGAAATAAAAAATAAAAATGTCTGGGGATGTAGCTCAGTGGTAAAGTGCCCTTGGGTTCAATCTCCACTATTAAAAAAACAAATACAGGGCTGGGGATGTGGCTCAAGTGGTAGAGCGCTCGTCTGGCATGCGTGCGGCCTGGGTTCGATCCTCAGCACCACATACCAACAAAGATGTTGTGTCTGCCGAGAACTAAAAAAAAATAAATATTAAAAATTCTCTATCTCTCTCTCCCTCCTCTCTCACTCTCTCTTTAAAAAAAAACCAAAAAAACAAAAAACAAAAAACAAATACAAACAAACAAGTTACCACTTACTAGGATCCAGGAAGTGAAAAGAGCATCCAGTTTTAACTAATTCTTTTAACTCAGCTTAATTTGTTAGGATATTGAAAGTGGAAGAAAATTCAAAAATTTCCATTAATATTGCAGTGTTGTCTTTATAGGGGTTTAAAAAATTTGGTGAGAGAGTTTCTGTTTGGGGTGATGAAAAATTCTGGAAGCATAGGGATGGTAGTGGTTTTGCAACATTGAAAGTACACTTAGTGCTACTGAATTTATACTTAGAAATGTTAAAATGGCACATCCTGTGTTCCATATATATTTTTCTACAACAAGAAGAAACTATTAGAAAATGTTTTTTAACAGTAGAAGAAAATGGGTGAAGAGTATTAGGAAATCTTGATGCTACTATATTTGCAGTCTTTCTATTATTCTAAAATTATTCCAAAATAATGTTAAAGAAAAAAAAATACTTTTTCTCCCTATGGTACTATGGATTGAATCTAGGACCTTGTGCATGCTAGGCAAGTGCTCTATTGCTGAACTATATCCCCAGCCTCCCAAACAATCCATCTATCTATCTATCTATCTATCTATTTATTATATATAAACAGACATTTGGTGTTGAGGATTGAACCCAGTGCCTTACACATGCTAGGCAAGAACAGTACCACTGAGCAACAGCCCCAAACCCCCAAACAATACTTTTTTTTTTAATATTTATTTTTTTGGTGTAGATGGACACAACACAATGCCTTTATTTTTATGTGGTGCTGAGGATCAAATTCGAGTCCAACTCGTGCTAGGCAAGTGCTCTACTGCTGAGCCACAATCCCAGGCCCAAACAATACTTTTTAAGGACCAATTATCCCCCTTAAATGTATATCTATTTGTATGAACACAAAAAATCCATTCACTTCCAAAGTGAATATAACCTAAATCAGAAAGATAATTTTAATCAGTAACAACTACCTTCTTAAATGAGAGTGGCCACACTAGTCATTTGGCTCCTTGCTCTATTTTCAACCTCTTTGGCTAAAGCCAACGACATCTCTGGCTTAGATATAGATTCCTTCCTAACTTCCAGTTTTATCAACCATGGTTCATAGCAGCTATAGGCCCTGAACCAAGGAAACTCCTTCCTACCACAAAAATGGAAGCCATCTGCCACGCTGCAAGATGCAGATGGCAGAGGGCCATCCACCTCAGGTGAAACAATGCATTTTTTAGTAAATAAGGAGTCACAGTAAATTTGCTCCACTTATAGAAAAACTCTTGAAAACCTGGTGATGTACACACTTGAAAATGAAGGTGTTCCTAAAAGAATGAAGGGAATCATCTGTTGACAGGGCATGTTACCATAAAGTGGCTAATTTGAATAACAGACCAACTATACCTACTTCCTTTCCACAGACTGCTTTTCTTTCAGGAGATCATTGAGTCTGTGCTCCAGATTATCACACTTCTCAATCGTTTCTTTAAATTTGGTCTTCATGTTGTTAATCTGAAAGAGCAAAGAGGGATCATGCTAAATTGTGTGGTCCTTGGACTACTGCCACAATTTTCCCCAATTATCAGTGTATGATTTTGACAAACCAAATCTAGAAAAGATGAGGTAATGATTTGAAAGCATATCTGGGAGCTAGGGTTGTAGCTCAGTGGTAGAGCACTTGCCTAGCATGTGAAGCACAGGGTTTGATTCTTAAACAAATAAAATAAAGGTCTGTCAACAACTTAAAAAAAAAAGATTAAATATATCCATATGTATATATAGAAAGCATTTCTGTAACAAGAATGAAAATTGTGAGAAATTCTTTTTTTGCTTACTATTCCTCAACACTAATGAAGAAGGGATCAGAAGTTGCTAAATGTCGTGAAACTGTTAGGTGACCAGAAAGTTTCAGGCCCTAGAGCAGGAGTTGGTTCACCAGAGGGCAGAGTAGGCCTCCCATTATTAATCACTCCCCATTATTTTTCCCTCCTGTGCTTACATTTCAAAAGTTATAATAATCCACTGGTTCTAATTGTTTGGTCTTATCTCTACCCCCTGCCCCAAACTATTACTTTTCTCACATACCAGGAAGCTCTATGAAACACGAAGTCCATGTTTGAGAGGGTATTTATAAAGACAATATATGTCTAGAGAATTAAGTCATATGACATAGTCTTATTTTTAAAAGAGAATTTAAAATTTTTGGTGTATTAGATAGCAGTAATCCTAGCTAAGAGTGTACTGGAGACCAACTAGATTGGCTCAGTGTAAAGGCCAACAGACCTAGAAACTGCCTCAACTCCACTGTTGAAGGACACTGGGAAAAGAATAGGTGGGAAGGGGAAAGGAGAGGCTGAGTAGACCATGAGGCAATAATAGGATCTGAAAGTGACTGAGATTTGAAATTCTTTTATTTATTTATTGTATATAAACAGACATTTAGTGTTGAGGATTGAACCCAGTGCCTTATACATGCTAGGCAAAAACTATACCACTGAGCAACAGCCCCAATCCCCCCAACAATACTTTTTAAGGACCAATTATCCCCCTTAAATGTGGTCAAGGCACTGGCTATGTGTTCCATAGGCAGTATCTCATTTATTGTTCACAACAAGCCAATGCCATAGATAAGGTACCTTTGACAAATACTAAGGCTCAGAGAAAGGTGAGGCAATATGCCCAAGGTCACTTAGCTTGATGGTGGTGAATCCAGTCTATGACCAAGCCTGATCCAAAGCTAAATTCTAAAACTCTTTCTGTATACTACAGGCCAAAGTTGTACTGCAAAGAAGACATGACCTCTGTGCCATATCTGAATCCTTAGCAGACCCTGCGTTATGATGCATGTGAGACTGATCATGCAGGAGAAATAAACCTTTCTTTCGTTTTTCCTTTTTTTGGGACTGGGGATTGAACCCCTCAGGGAAGTTAACCAGTGAGTCACATCCTCAACCCTTTACATATATATATATATATATATATATATATATATATATACACACATTTTTTTTAAGTTGTCAATGGACCTTTATTTATTTATATGTGGTGCTGAGAATTGAACCCAGTGCCTCACATGTGCTAGGCAAGTGCTCTCTCTACCACTGAGCCACAACCCCTTCTCTCCCCAATCCTTTTTATTTTTTATTTTGAGACAGGGTCCCACTAGTTAAGTAGGGACTCACTAAGTTGCAGACAGAGTCTACCCTTGAACACTCAATCCTCCTGCCTCAGCTTCTAGAGTTAAGAGGATTACAGGCATATGCTTCTGCATATGCTCTCTTTCTAAACATTTTCATAAGCCTAGTTGCCTTTTTAAAAAAATAATAATTGTTTTGTAGCAATTAACTTTATAGTCAATTTCTTTAATTTAAAAGAATACAGGGGGCTGGGGATGTGGCTCAACTGGTAGCGCGCTCGCCTGGCATGCGTGCAGCCCTGGTTCAATCCTCAGCACCACATACCAACAAAGATGTTGTGTCCGCCGAAAACTAAAAAATAAATATTAAAAAAAAATTCTCTCTCTCTCTAAAAATAAATAAATAAAAATAAAGACTCTCAGTTGATTGTTAAAAAAAAAAAGAATACGGAAGGGGCGGCTGGGGTGTGGCTCAGCAGTAGAGTACTTGCCTCCCATGTGTGAGGCACTGGGTTGGATCCTCAGCACCACATAAAAGTAAATTAAAAAAAAATAAAGATACTGTGTCCATGCATAACTAAAAATTATTTTTAAAAAATAAAAATAGCTTCAAAATTGCCCTAATTTTATTTTGGTATTTATTTTCTCTTCAATGTTATTTTGAAATCAGAAACTATTACATTGTTTTCCCATTTGCTCCTAAACTCACTCTTCAGTGAAGTTAGAAAGGACAAAAATTACTATCGAAAGGAATCAAACTATATGTTTTGGTCAGAGAAAATGCTTAAGCCAAACACATTTAAATCAAGATGAAAAATGAGGTAAATCTAGCTGGCTGCAGTGGTACACACCTGTAATCCCTGTAATTCTAGTGACTTGGGGGGCTGAGGCAGAAGGATCACAAGTTCAAGGCCAACCTCAGCAATTTAGTGAGGCCCTAATCCACTCACAATTTAGTGAGTCCCTATCTCAAGAAATAATAATAATAAATAAAAAGAATTGGGGATGAAAGTCAATGTTAAAGCACCCCAGGGTTCATTCCTCAGTGCCAAGGAGGAAAAAAAAAAGATAACTCTAAAGAGGCTTTTAATGTTGCTAAAGATGGATGTTACAAAGGTTAGTGCCTTTAAACCATTTCCAAGCGCTAGACCACAGTAAGAAACAGTGAATAGATATAGACATGAAACAAAAACGAGTTTCACAAAATAAAGTGATATACTCTGAACACTTTATATCTACCATATTCTACGCAATAAAAATGCCAGCTGTGATCCACTATATTCATTTCAGAATCTACAACTGGAAAAATACTGATTTAAATGGAGCTAGAGGTTGAAACAAAAAAGAATCATCTTTAGGGAATTTGCCTGTACTGCTCACTATTGTGTTTTTCATATGTGAGTCCTTCCTGTGAGTCCATAATGTGACCCCTTGAAAACTAAGAACCTTCAAGTGGGTATAAGCTTTATTTTCTAGACTCGGCTCACATGCTATAGTAATGGCACTGCCTCAGGCACTAGAGAAGAAACAGTATTTATTTATTTATTTATTTATTGGTACTGAGGATTGAACCCAGGTTGCTTAACCACTGAGCTACATCCTCAGCCCTTTTTTATATTTTATAAAGGGCCTCACTGAATTACTAAGTGCCTCACTAAGTTGCTGAGGCTGGCTTTGAACTTGCAATCCTCCTGTTTCAGCCTCTCAAGCTGCTGGGATTATAGGTGTGCACCACCTTGCCCAGCAAGAAACAGTACTTAAGACTAAAATCCATGATGAATTTCAACCTCAATCACTCCCCTCTTGACATGGAATTTTTTTTTTTTTCTTTGTAGCACAGGGGATTGAATTCAGCCACTGAGATACATTCCCAGCCATTTGTTGTTGTTTTTTGGAGATAGGGTCTCACTAAGTTGGCTAGTCTGGCCTGGAACTTCCAATCCTCCTGCCTCAGCTTCCCAAGTAGCTGGGATGATAAGTGTGCACAACTACACCTGGCAACATGAACATTTTATGAGCCTCCCAAACAAGAATCTGTCAGTGTAGCCCAGAGTCCAGATCACTGTTCTCCCTACATTCTCTAATGCTGAGGGTGCTAATGGATAGAAGAATGGCTAAATAAAGGACAGTGGCAGGACAATAGGCTTGTATTAGTCATGAACTTATGGATAAATGACATTTGTTATCAGAAAACAAAAGCATCCTTCAAGCCCTGTGTACTCTGACCTGGAGCTGCCCTGGCCTCTGTTTACCTAAAAGTAAATGTAAGCAAGTTTCAGTGCTTCCTCTCCCTGCCCCAACCTGCTTTCACTGACATGTTTTAGGAAATGAAGTCAATCCTGGAGAATCTCAAAGGGCAGAGAGATTCCTAAGCTGAATTCTCAAAGGTCTGCATGAAAGATTTGAGGTGGTCACGCTGCTACATCCCATAGAAAACCCCATTAGTGAGGCTGCAGAAGCACTGCCAACATGCCTCCCTGTGAGTCCATAATGTGACACCAAGGGCTCTGCCTCCACTCCCACACGTGCTCCAATCAAGCCCTATTCAGAATTGCAAAGTCAAGTGACCTCAAGTGCTTCTGGAAAGGCACTTGCACTGACTGGAAGGTTCTTGTAAGAATTTTGACAATAACTTTAGATCATTTTAAAGTTGGTGTTAAGCATTATTATTATTATTATTATTATTATTCTAAAAGAACCCTATTTCTCTCATTTATAGGCAGACCCAGAAAGTGGGGCCCATGGGCCTAGCATAACAAGAGCTTGGACCCTGGCCAGGGGTCTGCAATCCTAGCCACCGCAGACATGGGCCCCAGGCCTGGCTCTGGAGGCCCAGGTAAGGGTTGTGACTCACCAAGTCACTAAAATAATCATTAGAAATGTCAAAAAAAGGGGCTGGGGATGTGGCTCAAGCGGTAGCGCGCTCGCCTGGCATGCGTGCGGCCCGGGTTCGATCCTCAGCACCA